AGCTGGATGGTCACAAATCAGTATGCAAATAAATCCTTGTCTTCAGTCCGTCACTCAACATGATATGTAAATGCAGGAAGAACATGTTCACTACAACTAAGTTTCCGGGAATAAATTGAAATTACTCAACAAATGCATCGCGCACTGTAAATTCGGACCAAAGATAAAGAAAGTACACAATATAAGATTGCATAATCCGGGATTTTTAGAAAAAAGTTTTTTTTTCTAGTTTTTCCCCTCTCGCTACCTTAATGTATGCTTTTGAAATCATAGAGAGTGGAATTTAACGGGAGCATGTCAGGGTGGCCATCTCAGATGAGACCACAGCAGAAAATCATAAATACCTAACGTGACACATGCTTGAATGCATGATTCAGTGTCCTCCCCAGGATTTTGGTCAAAGATAGCATATAATTTACATAATTTATTCATGATATTTGTACATTTTTTTTTTCATTTTTCATAAACTGCTCACTGTATTACTTTTAGTTTTATAATTTAGAATGAAAACACAAGTAATGGCTTAAATTGAACTATTTGACATCAATATTTCTGGGCCTTAAGTGGAGCCTGCAACAATTTTTTGATTTCATTGATGTTTCAGTCATTATTACTTTCATTAAAAGTGTTATTATAAACATCTGAGTCAGCATTTCTTCAAACGATTTTTGTTTTCAAGTCAGACATCGATTCCAATAAACCAGTTACAATGGAAAAACACTTTCATTTTTTTTTTTTTTGATTTCATTCACGATGTATTTTCGACATTGGAATAATCTTGTCTTCAATAACGTTTTATTGTTGACATGGATTATAGACTACCGTACAACTTGCAACAAGTACATGCCAATCCAAATAAACTGATCATCCCTCCGACTGGTTATTGTTATGGCTTTAAAAAACAGGGAGGACGAGTCTCATGTAACAATAACTGCACGTAACAAAGACAATGAGGGTGCGGAAATCAAGCATGGCATGGCGTGTCGTGTCAGACAAGCATGGCAGTCTCTCAAGGCAGCACCCGCCATGCAGTTTGCATCATGAGGAGAACACTGTGATTTGAGACGCAGGACAGACTTTTAAAATGCAAGTCGTGGTCACTGTCTATAATTCTAAAATAAATGCTGAAATGCATCTTACCTTTTTTTATCCACAAAGTGTATCGATGGGATTTTGACAGTGAAATGACTAACAACTTTACTATAGCTATCTGTGGAGAAATAAATGTATACAAAGATTTTATGAATTCGCCCTGTCTTGTCTTTTCCGGGAATCGGTTGTTCCCATTTTCAATTATTGAAATTTCACAAAGTAAGAATTCAGAAATGATTTATGTGAAGCAAGATACAAGACACATGACTTCTTATAAATTTTTATATTTAAGAAGTGTGTATAGCACTGAGACTTACAACTTTTCTTGAGTATGTCAAGCAGTTGCAGTAGTACTTTCGACGTCTGAATTCCTTTCTCAATTTCTATATCAATATTAACATCGCTATGTCTTAAAGCAAAGCCATTTGATGAAGAGCCAAACAGATGGAATTGGCATCCTGCGGGGGTAAAAACATCAACAATTAGACAAATAAGTAAAGTAGACAGAAGAGGAGATCTGGAACAGCATTCACGGTTTAATCTCCCTTTATTAAAATGCATTTTTTTAATTTTTTCTACAGTTTTATTTTAATTCAGGGATGGGTAGAGTACAGCATTTAAATCAATCAATCAACAACATAATCAGCAGTGCCAAGCCAAAACAACTGTATACCAACTATTTATCACACTGGAAACTTACTGGTATTAATTTTTTTTAAATTCATATCAATTACGACACACACCTTTTTTCATCCTATTTCACAAAGAAAAATTTCAAGATACAAAGAAATAATTTTACAGAAATCAGTGTAGAAATGTCAACTGTCCCATGTGACATTTCCAAAACATGAAATATGATTTGTGTTATTTGTTAATAATTAACAGTGTGGCTCTCAGAACAGAAAGTAAACAAGATAAGTTATCAAAATACTGTATTTGCTTTATTTAGTTGCGGATGAGCTTACGTCAAATTTAAGTAGTGTTAATATGGTCAAAGCAGGTTAATAATACAGTATATAATATTGGCACTTCTAATGAAGCAAATACAGCAGTTGTCAGCATCCTTTATTCTATGTTTTTGTCATACCTCAAACTCTGCAAATAGAAGTGTGCATGAAATGCCGTGTTACAACTGACATAAAGGTGACAGGTCATACTTGTTTTCAATTTTGGAAGGACAGACATCTACCAGGTGTGCGTGTTGCAAATAGCAACGAGTTTCCTTGCTTGGCGAATTGTGTATATACGTGGTGAGTGTGAGATGTATATATTGAAGCTTTAATGCATTTATCTCGATTGTTGTTTTGCATTTCCATGTGACTGCTACATTTGCGGGGGGAGCACGGTGTCGCAAAAACGCCACCGAGAGCTGAGCTGTGTAGATACTATTGTTTTTTATTCAAATAACATCTCAAATACACAGCAGAACACACCTGTTTGGGTATTTTATTCTGAAAGTTAAGAAAATATTCCTGCAATTTCTTACCTTTAATATCAGCACTGATAACTGCATTCAAATTCTTCACAATATTATATCGTGTTTCAATTTCCTGAGCTGTTAACCCTTGTTGTTCAATAATGTTTAGTAATAATGCATCCAAAACCTTTATATGAACTTTGCTTAACGGTGGCAAATTACGAAGCGCTTCTTCTTCTTCTAATGCCTATACAAAAATGGAGTTTATTTGAGGATATCAGCATCGCCGCAACTATTATGTAATACTTAGGTTGGCGTGAAACAGATGGGAACACATTAAGCTGGTAAATAGAGGTTTGAACATGGTGAAGTTAAAGTCTTGTAAAAGGGGCTTCTGGGGTGACTATTGGCCATGGGAAGGCAATTTAGGTTGTTGCCATATTTTGACAAGTTGTCACTCGAAATATGTTGCTTGGTTCAAACAAGCTTTCTTGTATGGATATTATTATGAATGACATGGGCCAGAATAACACAAATAAAAAAACACAAAAAACAGAAATATGTGTCAACCAAAACAACACCTATCTGTGAGTGAGCACCATTGTGCACATTATCCAGTGGCCTCTTGTAAAAAAAAAAAAAAGACAAAAAAAACGCTGGTGTGAACACAAGATTATGATAATCTTATCTTAGCTTACACAACTTTTTCTAGCGAAAGCACAGGAATGTAGTGAATCAGACTACATTTTCAAATAAACTGGAAACGGTGACAAAATACAACTGAGAATGCACACACACGAATTAGGGCTCATAGCAACACAAAAATCAGGCAGAGAGAAGAAATGCTATATTTTATATTTCAGTAAACTCACCAGAACCATTCTCTTGTGTTTTTTATCCTTGACATGTCTTTGGCAAACAACAACAGTGTCACAATGATAGTCACAGGCTTGGCAGTGGTATTTGGCAAGTGGAAACTTGGAAGATTTCTGACAATAATAAAAACATTAATCATTATCTGTGATTTCAAAGCACCAAGTTCTCTTTAAAATGCATTGTTTGAGTGCACAAAATCTGACTGCCCCCCTGCATCATGACCACTGGACTTTGTAGCTTAAGCTGACCTGGAAATTTGGGGGACAGCTTAATTTTTTTAAACCAGTCTCAATAGATTTTCTTATTCTTGCATCACGCCGTGCACACTGACACTAATGCAAAATGTACGTGACAGGAGGCTCACCTCTTTCAGGGGATACATGTGGTCTTTTGCGAATATACTTAGAAGTTCCTCCCCAGGCTCCTCCTCATTCAATTCACCAATTATCTCTTTGGGAGTCTTCCCGAAAGTCACTTCAGGAAAATCCTTCTTTTTCAACTGAATATTATCCTTTCCCCTGGCCGAGGCGGCATCAGAGGAGTCATTACTCAACGTTTCACGTGACTTCTTCTTCTTGGCAGCTTTCTTTCTATTATCTTTAACGTGAGTTGGTTGCTCGCTAGACAAACTAGGACTTTTGACAGATGTTGAAGTCTCTTGACTCTTGACAGACGTTGAAGTCTCTTGACTCTCTTCACTTGTTGCGCCAGGTTTTACAACAGCAGTACGCTCCTGGTTACCAGTAGGGCTTTGTCTTGGCCGACCGCTACCAGATCGTTTCCTTCTGTTATCAGGTTTTTCTTGGTGATTTTGTTCTTCCGGTCCATTCAAGGCTAAAGTTGCATCTTTTGTTTTCACAGACCGTTTCCTTTTATTTTTCTTTCCCCCTTCATAGGCTCTCCCAGGAATTTCCACGATAATGTTTTCTAACTGCTTCAAATCAAAACCAGGAACTATGGGCTCTCCTTGTTTCTCTGGTGCATCAGCCATACTTAATAAAATCCTTTTGATCTAAGAACCACTACATGGAAGGCAACCTTCTAAACACCTCAGAAGAAAAACAGATAAAAAATACTATTATTTACAGTACTATCACAACTACAATCATTACTGTAAACACATTAATTACTCATTGGGTTTCGATCAAAATAGTGCCATAAAACACCTTCAAAATAAATGCTTTTACAGACACAAATACAGTCTGGACTTATTTTTAGTTTAATTAGAACATGATCCAATATGGAACAAGTGTTTAAATATTTACAAGTCTAGTTATTATCTGAAGATTATTTTATCAACCAAACCAGCTGTTTCTCTATTAATTTCCAAACAAATATTTAACTTTTGAACTAAATTGGACCTCAGTTTACATTTAGGGTGTGTGAGTAACCAGTCACATTTTATCATGACAGACACAGTGTAAAATGTCGAGTATGATACAGATTCCATGTAACGTTCAAAATATGGTGACCCCCCCCCCCCCCCTAACGAAGTGGACTCAGTCTTGTCATATTGTATGATGATAAAACTATGAACTTTTTTTATTTTCATTGCTATAAATTTTCATAAGAGAATTAAGGGCACACAGGGGAAAAAATTATGCAAAATTCACAGCAATGCAATTTCTTCAAGGACCAAAATGAAATGCTCACTGCACTTAATTGCAAACAATGTGTCCAGCTTTAAAAACTGATATATATCTAAATTATGCACAGTAATCGGCCTCATGTTAGTAACATACAAGTCAACAGAGACAGATGAGCACACTCGTCAACACAATAGCTAATAATGCATTTCAGTCGAAATAAAACAAAACTGTAATACAGACTAAAACATGATACAAACCACACACCATATAATCATCTGTTATGACATTTGCGTCTCTGTGATTAACATGCAGTGTTGTGGAATTTATAATGTTTAAATAATAAAAATTGATACATCAAGAAGCTGGCAGAACAAATTTGCTTAACATTCCTTTGAATCTAAGCACAATGGTATTTTAATAATTCAGTGTAGTTAGAATAAATACAATTCTGCTTTTTCCCCTATGTACTCGTTTCCCATATGAGCCCAAAATTCTTTATTTCTGTGTAACTTTGCTATGATCAAAGTTGTTCATTTCATTCACTTCCTTCTTCTCGTATGTCGCAAATGACTAGTGCTTATTTGCAGGCCTTTGAACTTTGGAGCACGGGTAGAGAAGCTAACTAGATTCAAGGCCAAATTTGATAAATACAAAATATATCTATATTTCGAAGGTGTCTCCATGTTAAAGCATTATAGTTGCAGTGTTGTCACCAGTAAAGTAGAATAGGATTGTGGGTAATTTGAATAACACTATAGAGTCTTGATAGCTGATTTTCTGTTTACCACAAGAACTTGATGATTTTGAACGTGAATTTCTTCTTTTATTGTTCAATGTTGAAATGTCGATCAGAGAAAAATATGGTGTTGAGATATACCTTTACTTTTACTTTATTTAATTACAACCATCAAATGGGTATAAAGCACAGAATAAACATACTTTCACATTTGTCCAACAGGGATCTGCCCACGCTGGATGGCGGCGGTCACTAGCGACAAAAAGTTGGCGACTGGCACTATTTTATTTGTTTTTTTGATACACACAGGATGTCAGCCACTGGACAATCATTGTATTGTCCTTGTTGGTTTTAACACACAACACAATGCAAAAATTAACACACAACAAAACTTGAAAGAAGACATCGCAAAATCAACGTACACGTGTGACATCGGCCTAATGTGTTTTTGTTTTAACCTCCGATTGACATTCTGTTAGTTTTAAAAAACGAACCAGATCGGAATAAGTTGTACATCAAGATAATGGAAGGGGAGACAATGATAAATAAACAGAAGGAAGAATTACCATTGCAAGTTCAGTTGTATGTAGGATTTGTCGAGTGTAACAATAACTTGCTCACTTCACCGGCAGCAATGAGCCAAGCTGTCGTTTGTTTAATCTGCACTTGCAATCGAGTGCAGTAACATTCATTGATGTTTTTGGCTTCATGACTCGTTCATAAAATTAAATTCATAAGCTATATTCAGTCAGCGATACAAGGAATACTTATTTTTCACTATTAATGTGATTTGTGATTTACCAGCAATCCATTGGAAAAGAAAACAATTAAATTTTTGTTTCCACTTTGGCCGTAACAAACGAATGACATGGTTTGAAAAAAAAAAATAGCTGCCAGGTCAGAGGTCAATGTCTCAAAATAAGTATAGAAGTGATTGCGAAAATAAAGTGTACATATTTTTTCACTTTTATCAAATCAGATTAATTTTACATTGAAATATTTAAAATAAAAGTTAAAATAATTAATAGTAGTTAAATTGTAGCACGTAGAATGGCAAAATAAATATTAATTAGCTCGTGAATATTAATGACCTCATTAATATTAATTAGTGACCGGCACTCAAATCAGACTGGACAGAACCCTGGTCCAATCTCGCGCACTACAGCGCTATGACCTTTGTCTGTTCTGTTTTTACATTGATTTCACACATAATGTGGGATCTTGCGGTGAACGTAAAATAATCTATTCCCTCCTTTATATTCATTGTTATGTTAAGTAAGCCTAAATATTCACCCAAAACTATAGAATAGAATGTCGAACTATTAAATATACAGTCAAACCTGTCCATAAAGGACAGTCAGTGGACTGAGCCAAACTGTCCTTTATAGACAGGTGGTCTTTATATGGAGGTGGCCTAATTTATTCATTTAATCATGAATATTAATTAGGGCCGGAATTTTAAGGGAGATCATAAGCAATACATAAAAACAAACCTATAATGAATAGGTCTTTTTTAATAAAAGTCACTCATTTTCATCTGGATAATTACAAAAATGAAACCAAGTGATTCTGCCCATGGATTCATTGGTGTATTTAATGCATAAGAACGATTGTCAACGATCGGCCGCATTGGCGTTTCAGCTCGTACTTTCACACTCTCGCCAAGCAGTCTTATTCCCCAGTCTCTTACACATATTCCATCACAGGCGGTAATCAGTCCCATCGTTAGTATTGTCGATTGTACACTGTAACAAAATGCACAGGCAAAGTTGCCGTGATTGAAAAAACAAACAAGCATTAAAAATAAAGAAGCATTGGTAATAAACAAAATTGACCAAACTCATAACGATTGCTCCAACCACAGGTGCTCCAACTCTCGGTGTTGAATCAGAAAGTCAAACGAACCGGAAATGAAACACTGTGATCGTACACGCAATTTTACAGTTATTTGTTGCAAGCATCGACGTGTCAAAACTGCCCAAACGAATTTTCTCGATTGCAAATTATTGATATTACCGTTTATAAAAAAAGAGGATCAAAATAGAAAACATCTTTCGTTGAGAATAACCCCGAGATGACCCCCCAGTAACAATACGTTTTACCCATGCACTAGCTTCATTAGCATAATTTATAACGATCAACAACAAACAACATGGCGGCTAAAATAGGTCGGATTTTGCAATCCCGCGATGAAAACGAAATAAACGAATGTTTTATTTATTATTTTGTTTGGATATTTCATGTCGACAAGGTAAATAAAACATCTCTCATTTAATAAAACTGGTTCATTTTTCTTGTTTTCGAGACGGGGGGAATTTGCTCTTCATGTGCGAGATAGTCCACAGAAGTGCTGCTGGCCGGCTGGGGATCTATAGTATACCGGGGGTAGTACCGACCGGAAACAAGCTAGTTTTTCATTTCAAACTTTGAATGAAACTGTTTTAATTTGTTGTTAAAATCTTTCCAGTCTCCAGACGTTACATTCAGATGATATTCAACTTTTTTTTTTACTTTTTCGCAACTTCACAAACCAAGTTGCGTTGGTCACCCCTGTCTATTAGCCCTAAAGATTGCGTACTCGGTAATCTGAATGTAACATATGGCCACTTTCCTGTTAGCGATTCGCAAGTAGCTATTGTCTTTTTGCTGAGACAGTCTGATGAAAATGTTGGTGGTCGTTATACAAAGGTTAAAGTATGAATAGGTCTACAATAGGGTGGTCGCTGGTCCGTTGGACAGGTGGTCGCTATATCCAGTGTCTTTAACGTGTAAATTGCGAAGGGACTGTACTAAGGTGGTCGCTATGAGCAGGTGGCCACTCTGCACAGGTGGTCGTTAACACAAGTTTGACTGTATGATATACTGTAGAACTATAGAATGTCACCCACTGATCGTATTTGTGTTACGCATTCATTACATTTCCATCAAGACTACATCATGCAAGTGCACCACACTATTAGTATTTACACACCACAATGGCGATCTTAACTCCAGCACCAGCATATAACTTCTATTATCACTCATGTCTATGAGATCATTTCTTCAATGCTCAGTGTTCTCCCCAGAAATTGTTCATAGAGTCGCGGCTAATTTGCATAATAATTAGCATATAATTAGCATAAATTAACATCTTGTTTGTCATATGGGGAAATAAAACAAAACCAGTTTTTTTCCTTTTTTTCTATTTATTTTATGTACAATCTGTATACAATTATTGCACTGCATGTTTAGTATTGCAAATGTCCTGCAGAAATACTGAGTTTTCTGTTCCTTTGCTTGGCCCAGCAATCAGCAACTTTATAAAACCCTGTTCAGTCCCGGTAAATTAAACATTGGGTTGATTATTCTCATAGCTTGTCTTCCGTTTCTGTTGTTTTCCGGTTAAGGTAGAGATGCAGTTTATTTGTGAATTTCAATCAAAAATAGTTTTTTATATAGATTTTTATCTAAAGAACATTCTGTGAAAATTTGACCAATGAATTCTTATTGGAACACCGTTAAAATTGTTGTTTATTTTCTGGTTAAAAATAAAAAACACTCACACGTGGCAATGTTTATGTCCAATTGCCTAATTTGCATGAGTAACCAAATAACAGGACCTTTGATTGACAATATGCAAATCGATATTGTACGGGTCATAGTTCATTCAATTCACGCGCATGTGCAATTATTCTGAAATCAGTTCTCGCTCGCTAGCAAACCAAACATTATATTTCCTCAGCGTTTTTTCCTAATTTTTATCATTACATTATGCGTGGTGTGAAAAGAAAGAGAGGTAGAAAGAAGATTCAGATGATTTCTATGTCGGAAGATGCAAAAGCTACACTGAAGGCATCAGCCCACCGAACGAAAAACAAAATCGATGTGAGCGTCCAAACATGACTTTCCCTGAAGGCATGAATCCGAGTTTCTGATTGACTGAGAGATTTTATTTTTAAATAATTGTTCTCAAAAAATAAACTGAGCATGTGAAGAATAATTTAACATTGTTTACAGTGATAACTGCTCATTGTCGAAACGAAGCTTACCCATTCACGCTAGTCACAATAAACATCATACTCTTGAATAAGCGTCAATGACGGTAAAACTTAGAAAATGACGCCAAATACACCTTAAAATCCCATTTTATTTATTT